ATTGGAAGACCATGTCTGTTTGGATTGCTGCTCAGCAGCAGCAGGAGGGCTGGCAGCAGCTGGACACATAGCAGGAGGGCTGGCAGCAGCTGGGCTCACAGCAGGCCAGGCGGCGGGTAGGCGGGCAGCAGCTGGGCAGGCAGATGCAGGTGGGGTGGTAGCAGGTCCTGGTGCAGTAGACAGGGGTGCAGGTGCCGGCCTGTCCGCAGGGGGAGCTGCAGCAGCTGGGCCTGCAGCAGCTGGACTGGCAGCAGGGCTGGCAGCAGCTGGCCACACAGCAGCTGGGCTGGCAGCGGGGTGTGCAGTGGTAGCTGGTGGCACAGGAGGGCTGGAAGCTGGTCCTGCAGCAGGTGGTTTGGCAGCAGGTGGGGCGGCAGCAGCTGGGCTGGCAGCAGCTGGGCTGGCAGCAGGGGGCGCTGCAGGAGCAGGACACACAGGCTGGTTTCCAGCAGGTGGTCCTGCAGCAGGTGGTGCTGTAGCAGGGGGGTGGGCAGCAAGGGGAGCAGCAGGAGCCGGTCATGGTGTCAGGGGTGGGAGGAAGGTAGGTTTCTGTGCACAGGTGGTTTTCTCAGAATATGGTGCTTCTCTCCACTCTGGGTCTTTTATACCCTGGAGCTTCAACCTTTGGGCCAATAAGCAGAGGTTTTCCTTGTATTCTGCTGTGGTTTTTGTAAACACTGACGTACCATCAGGATGCATCAGATTTTTCAACAGGTGTTTGGAAGTTTCTTAAAATTAGTGGCCTAGTCTATTTCCTAGTTGGGGATCCCGTTTCAGGTCATGCCCAGGAATGAGAAAGTTAAAGCTCCTCATTAGCATAATTTCCCCTCATGTGACAGCCTCTGGTCCTGTGACAGTTCCCAGAGCTCTGGGATGGGTGGGAGAGCTGTTCCTCCTGCAGCTTTCCACGTAGTGGTGCTTAGATTGGGCACTGCCTTGAGGGTTAGGATTCTGAAGAATCTGTTCTGATGAATTGAAACTCTGCTTGTGTTCAAGTCTGATTCCCAAGAATTACCTGATTCAAGGCAGGTGTCTCTCTCTGTGACCACCTACTCTTACATTTCCAGGTAAGTCATGTGTATTTGGTTTAGGGGTGTCTGGTGCAATAGCTGGGTCACTTGTGCGTCTCATTGCAGTACCTGTGTTTCATGGCTGCCACGGACTCCTGACTCCAGGTTTCTGCTGATGCAGAAATAATTGGGTTGCTGGTATCAACTTGGGAATGAGTTCTTGGGTTTGGCTCTGGGGCATCCTTGGCTGTTGCAGCCATTTGGGAGCAGATGGCAGATCTCTGTCTCTCTGTGTCTGTGTGTGGTCATGCACATGCTAAATAGATCCAAATTATTTTTTAAAATAGATACTAGAGTGTAAGTTAGCTGGCATAAAATTTTACATGCAGATCTTGATCCATGTAAGAGGAGAGGGACTCAGGAAGCGGCTCCACATTCTTGTCCGTGTCTGTCAGAGTGGCGTGGTGGTCCCCTGTGAGCATCCCAGATTGTATGTTCACGGGAAGTAGGAGATAGTTATGATGACTGCACTCCACTTATCTCCGCACCTGTCAGTGTAGGTGTTTTAGTTAATGGGGGAAATTGTCAGCCCTAATTTGTTTTCCTTCTCTGTGTATAGATGTAGGGGATATGGGAATATAGATACAGATGTAAGGAGAAAAGCATAGTTAAGTGTATGGCTAAAAGCACACAGCAGTGTTTCAGTTTGTCACACTAAGTGGTGTCTCCTGCTGACTCTAGTTTTGTCATGAGCCTTTCATATTCCATGGAGTCATGCTTCATGTTTGCCCTATGTTGATGATTAATGCATACTAGGCATTTTTGGGGCCACTTTTCCTTCTGCAAGTGTCTATTCTAAGTCTTCTACCCAAGCTTTTTCTTGGTGTATCTTCTCTTAGTTTCACAGAGCTTAAGACATTGACTATATTTTTTGAGTTCATCTAAAATTTCAAGATTTTCTTCTTCTCCAATGAGTTTTGTTAAATTTGGTGAATATCAATTATGTATTTTTATGCATTTAAAATATTTAGTGTCATTGATTTAGGATTCTAAAAGCAAACCTCACTATGTTATCCATCAATAAGATGTCCATTGTTTTGATTTGTTGTTTATTACTTTTCAAATTTTAGAAATTATATTAGAGCAACAGAGTTCATGTATTTCATGTGCACAGTTTTGGGAGTAAAATGAAATTTCCACTATGCTCTTCCTTCCTCTTATTTTTCTTTTAATATTTATACTAACATTGTTTCAATTTGCTTTTTAATCAAAGGCTCTACCTTCCACTAAATTAAGGACTCAGCAGGTATAGACTTTTCATGATGGCCTACTGTGCTTCAAAGTATTTGAAACTTTACAGTTATTGCATATTTCCTATGTGAAATCCATTACAGATTCTACCCACCCTAATTTTTCTTGAAAATTTTGCCTCGGTATATTTTATCTTCTTGTTTACTTTTCATAGAACCAGTTCTGATAAAAAATGCAGAAATGAGTGACTCATGGTAAATGCACTCTCAACAGTGGCAGCCTTCAAAGTTAATAAGGAAGATCGCTCACCTCAACTTGTGAATCTTTTGTCTGATAACTTGCCAGATGATTGTCCAGTTATTCTGAAGTCTGAATTCATAGCCTCAGAGTATCCTGGTCTATTGAGCCACAGGAAAGATCATCTTGACATTAACTATCATCTGCTTTAAGCCTTCTATGCATTTTGCTCATGGTGTTGGCTCTGTTGTGACCGTAAAGAAAGGGGCATTTGTGTCTGGTGTCCATTATCATGGATCGTGTTTTCCTTTGCTGATTCACAGGAAGTCACATTGTCTTTCTCTGACCTTGGGCACGTGCCCTCCCCCTGCAGAGGACACTTCTGCCCCTGCACACAGCATGCCAAGTCTGGCTATCATGAAGTTGAGCAGGGTTACTTGTCATCCAAGTCTCTTTTCCTTGACTTGTCAATCAACTGTTCTCTCTCATTACAACCCTCTTCTGAATCATTTCCTAATTGCTTCATAGCTACCTGCATACTACTCTAACAGAATGCACTGATGGTCTGCAGTGTCCTGCACCCAGGCCAGTGTCTCTACTCCTAAGATCTATCAGTTAGTTCTTGCTTGTATGTATCTGTGACCAGGAAATGTGTACCTATTAAAAATTCACCTCCATGTTCTCCTACTGAACAGTAGGAATTCATGGGCAAATTGCTTAACATCCTATTCTGCTCTGCAGTTGTCTTTTTTTTTTTTCATGATTTTTTTTTTGGCATCCCTCTGTTTTATTCAAGCTGGTTTTGATTGCAGTGTATATTTGGTGTTTGTCTGGCTGGTGGCTCTATATTTCCTTCTCTTCAAAATTGCAGCATAAGATCAAATGTATTTTATCGTCTTCTCCTCTGAGTGTATATTACTTTTCAATATTCTTTCTCTGAAAATCAAATACAGACTAGTAATTCAGAAGATTACTAGAAGATGACTTCCTGCCCTGTGTAAACACAGTGACTGCCACAGTGATTCAACACTGCCCAGCTGTTGACGGCATAGGGCTTTTGAATCTACAGAGTGTAAACTCCTAGTACTCTCCCTGTCTTCCAATCAATGAGAGAAAGATGAAAATCATGCTCAATCCTTTTATAGAAAGAACGACTTTTGTGCCACAGTAGCCGCTTGCACCTTTACTGGTGTCTCGTGGTAGAAAGTGATTGGTTCTGAGAAGTCGGCCAAGCTGTTTACACATTGTGCAAGCCAGTCAAGTTGATGCATACTCTATGAAATCCTGGAGAGTGCCGCATCGTGCTCTAAAATGAGTACAGGAAGATATTATTCCAAAGACTGTTAGAGAATGAAATGCTGCCTGCAACACATGGCACTTGCTATGTATGTAGCATCCAATGAATAATGACCAAAAACCCGAGTGATCCCCTGCCAAGAAGCACAAGTGTTAGTGATCAGAGGTAGGGTCTTCTGGCATACCTCTTCAGAGAACAAGAGGATGACGTTTCTCCCACCTGATCAGGCAACACACTGCTCCTGACACCCTGCTCTCTTAAAGGCAGCAAGAGTCTGAACGACTCCATGTGCTGCGTGTGCTCTTTTGTGTCTACTCCTTCAGGATACTCACATATCCTCTTTCATGTCACACTCACACCCATCATGGATGCTGCTGATGTACAGCTCCTCCGTGTTTCCCTGTTCCTCACCTTCCGCTGCTTGTACACACAAAGGTATCCCGCAGGTGTCTCGTGCGAGAGAACCTGAAGCCGGCAAAGCACACACCTCTCCACGGGGCTCAGTGTTGATCATGTGGGGTAAGATGGAAAGGGCCTTGGAGGTAAAACATGAAGAGTGAAGTGCCATGCCAGCTGACATTATGCATGCCACTTTTTTTTGTCTCAAACATAAATTGTCAAAGATGCTCTTGGCTGTGGCCATCTTTTGAGGCAATCTTGAGGTGAGGGAGGGGTGTGTAAGGGAGAGGAAGAATAAAGGAAGACCTTATGAAATAAATGCTAAGAAACAGCAACAGAATTCAAGTCATTATGCTCAAGTTTATTAGAAAAAAACAGGGGGCAATCCCTGTCAGCAGGAAGACAACATATAGTAAGAATACAAGGGGAAAGAACATGCCACAGGTTGTGATAACCTGAGACAATGCTTATTTTGTAACATTGAGGAAAGTTAAGTAAAATCCATCGAGTTTTGGTTTCTTGCTTAGGGTTTAGATGGCTCGGAGAAAAAGGATGAGGCTTGTATTTCTACATCTTCTTCACTTCAAGTGAAGAGCTGCAAAAGCAGGCTAGGACGTGGAGAAGTGATCAGCACATAAAGAAAAGGAGAACAGGTGCAAGAGGCTGCACACCATCAAACTGATGTGCAAGAGTCCTTATAAGAAGACAGCCGAGAAAGAGCTGTATGAGAGGAAAGGCAGGAGAGCAATTCTGAGTGCAGGCACAGGGTTGTTTCTCAGAGAGCTGGGCTGTGATAGGTGGTAGTCTCAGCAGCAGGAGGGCTGGCAGCAGCTGGACACATAGCAGGAGGGCTGGCAGCAGCTGGGCTCACAGCAGGCCAGGCGGCGGGTAGGCGGGCAGCAGCTGGGCAGGCAGATGCAGGTGGGGTGGTAGCAGGTCCTGGTGCAGTAGACAGGGGTGCAGGTGCCGGCCTGTCCGCAGGGGGAGCTGCAGCAGCTGGGCCTGCAGCAGCTGGGCCTGCAGCAGCTGGACTGGCAGCAGGGCTGGCAGCAGCTGGCCACACAGCAGCTGGGCTGGCAGCGGGGTGTGCAGTGGTAGCTGGTGGCACAGGAGGGCTGGAAGCTGGTCCTGCAGCAGGTGGTTTGGCAGCAGGTGGGGCGGCAGCAGCTGGACTGGCAGCAGCTGGGCTGGCAGCAGGGGGCGCTGCAGGAGCAGGACACACAGGCTGGTTTCCAGCAGGTGGTCCTGCAGCAGGTGGTGCTGTAGCAGGGGGGTGGGCAGCAAGGGGAGCAGCAGGAGCCGGTCATGGTGTTAGGGGTGGGAGGAAGGCGGGTTTCTGTGCACAGGTGAGTTTCTCAGAATATGGTGCTTCTCTGCACTCTG